CAAGACTGCACGAATTAAAACACACAATGCTTTCTGATACACTATATAAACATAAAACATTACACATGTGAATTATAAGTGTTTTATGGATCTTTTTCAATTGTTAAAGGCTACAGGTTGACTGAATACATCATGACTTCCTATACACACCTCAACAATCTACTGGACTATTATACTATAAAAAGCCACAAAATATTATAAGTTATTACTGTATTTGTTAAATATGTGATCATACATATACTGACGATGCATCCGTAATATTGCATGCTTCATTATGGTGTTGACTACAGTTAATAAGATGGTTTCATAGACAGTGTAATTAATTAGGGTAAACCCACTACCTTTGACCTCCTTGGCTCCCCTTTTTAACCCCCATAACTCTCCTCTCTGACAGGAAGTCCACTGACACACTACCACCAGCTGGCAGGCCGGTGGATGGAGGGTCACTCCGCTGGTGGCAGCCGAAACTGCAGCAGCTACGGCAGCAACCCCAAGTTCTGGCTCAAAGTGTGTGAGAGAGGAGAAGTGCTAGTGTCCCTGCTGCAGCACAGAAAATGGAGGAAGACAGAGAATTGCACACAAACGCCATTAGAGGATAGCAAAAACACAAAACACCAGCACTACCAGGCTATCGCTCTACACATGTGGAAGGTTTGTCCCATGGCTTGTAAGGAAGATAAACGTTTGTGTCCTTGCATTGTGTCACTAATGTGTTTTTCCTGCTGCTAGGTGGAGAAAAGGCGTTTCAATCTTAGCCGAATGTTGAACAAACCACCTTGTGTTTCTACTCACTGCCACGCCTACGAGAGAGAGGTGGTTCTCCATCAGCAGCTGGAGCCTGGGTTCTACCTGCTGATCCCCAGCACCTACCAGCCAGGAGCGGAGGCCCGCTTCCTCATCAGGGGGTTCTCCTCCTCCCCCACGTCTCTCAGGTAAGGACAACTTTCAGAGAGAGTAAATAAGCTCCTATTATTTATTTAAAAATACTCAAAACATAAAATACATCCAGGTTATGTTTCTTTGTGTGATTATAACGTTTGAACAAATTCCAATTTCAATTTTTTCGCCCGTTCAACAATCTCTTAATCATACATTGTTGATATTATTAAGCGTCTTTGAGCATTAGGAAAAGCGCTATAGAAGTCCCATTTATTATTATTATTATTGTTAACTGTTTTATGACTATTATTTATTAATTTTAATTTAATTAATCATGATTTATGATTTATTTGTGCACACATTCTTTTTCTCCATACCAATAAAAAGGTATCAGCTGGTAAACAGTGACATCTGCTGGTCAATTAGTCACCTCACAATTTATTTTCTCCACATTTTCCTATTTCCATGTTTTGCCATATGTGCTGCAATTGACTTCAATGAATTCTATCATTACAATATTGGTGTCCTCCTCAGTGCCCTGAAGAGCCCAGTACCTTCACTGCCGTCAACAACAGATGGAGAGTGGGAGACCTGTTACTTCCAGGGCTCGTGGGTGGAGGGAAGGACAGCTGGAGGAAGCAGGAACTTCCTGTCTCACTGGCAGAACCCCTGCTTCCCCTTTACAGTTTGTGATGAGTCAGCAATGACGTCAGGAGTTAATGTCAGGATTACCCTGCGCCAGAGCCGCCCTGACACGGACCTCCACCCTATTGGCTTCCACGTTTATAAGGTCAGTCAAACAAAGGGAGATTACCAGTGTCATGTAGAGTAACAGCACATTCAACTCAATCAACACACTCTGTTCAATGCTTTTTCTTTTTGTGCATTCTAACATTGAAACCTTTAGGTGTTTAAGCTAACTTTGCATTTGCTCACATACTGTAGTTGTATGTCTGTGAATTTTCTTAGGACCAACAAATAGCCTCTTATTAGGGTAAAAAAGCAATAATGTATTTGTTTTTCTTTGTTTTTAGGGGCATGTGCCCGTTAATCAACCTGAGAGTTTTGAAAACATTAATGTAAAAGTGAGATGGTTAGCTGTCAAGTAGTTTGCACTGGTAGACCAAACACAATAAAAAAAATAGTTTGTGTATATTTTGGTCTTAAAGGTGGGGTAGGTAATTTTGGAGAAACCAGCTCGGGTGCGCTAGAATTTGAAAATACACCGCCGGAAAAAATCTGCCACTTCCTTACAGAGCCCCTCCTCCAACACACGAACGTGCACATGACCAATGAGGGCACGAGATAAGTTTGTGCACAGATGGAAGGCTGACAGGCAGGTAGGCCATCCAGTGGATGGCCTACCTGCCTGTCAGCCTTCCATCTGTGCACAAACTTATCTCGTGCCCTCATTGGTCATGTGCACGTTCGTGTGTTGGAGGAGGGGCTCTGNACCTGCCTGTCAGCCTTCCCTCTGTGCACAAACTTATCTCGTGCCCTCATTGGTCATGTGCTTGTTCGTGTGTGTTGGAGGAGGGGCTCTGTAAGGAAGTGGCAGATTTTTTCCGGCGGTGTATTTTCAAATTCTACCACACCATCGAGCTGGTTTCTCAAATTACCTACCCCACCTTTAATGTCNTGACAGGCAGGTAGGCCATCCAGTTATTTTAGCCGTACTATGGCTTCCACAGAGGACATTCTTTCATGGATTTTGTGTCAAAGCACTTAAGATATTCATTGCTATCGGGATGTTAAGAGCATTCCATGGAATATAACACAAAGTGTATCTCGATCCGGTTTCTCAAACTTACCTTTAATAATATCTTCAAATAATATGATACATAATAATATCTTGAAATGTAAGTTAGTTGTTAGTGTCTGCAAGTTTACCATTAATGAACAACACTAGCCTGTGAAGAAATAAATATTAAGATTGCTATTGATTATAACTCTACACTGCCTGAGCCTTTGATCTGTGTGCAGTTGTCAGAAGGAGAATCCCAGCAGACATTACCCAGGGACGAGGACCCCGCGGCCAGTTGTGTCCCTCACTGCTTCACCCAGGATGTCCTCCTGGCCTGCTGCCTCTCTCCTGGAGCTTACACCATCGTGCCCTCCACCTACAGGCCTGACTGCTCAGCCAGCTTCACCCTCAGCCTGGCCCGCAGAATACACAGGTAGGACATATTGAAACAGTATCTTTAGGTATTATTATGTCATCGTCATAAATAATGGTGGTTTTGTGTCTTTTTTAGGAAGGTGGTGAAAAGCCAGGAGAGACTGGGAAGAGCCATTGAAGAGGTCAGTTATTGGAAATAATTTAGTACTGTTAAATGAGAAAAACGACTTGGTAACACTGACTGACAAATCTTCCTTATCCCACCAATCAACCCGGGTTTTGGTCATGGTGATTTACAGAATCTATAAAATATACCAACATTTACATTACAAAAGGCAGAATTTCTATTATCTAATTAGATATATAATAATAGATGGCTAAAGGAGGACAGGAATTTTAGGATAAAAGTACACAACTATATAGAATAACGTTTTTAAGTATTAACCACAAACATTCCGTCAAAACATGTTTTGTCGCAGCCCTGGCATTATGTTACATTATGGTAAAGAAACTGTCTCTATAACCTGTGCCAGTGTTTCAATTTCAACGAAGCTCAACAAATCAAATGATTATGATTTTGGAAGCTTGATGGTAGGATGAGGCAGAGGGGCAGCAGCTTGACAGCAAGTCATTCCTCCAGATCAATTCAATTCATAACCCTTATGCCTACTTTAAAAACCTGCAATTATAAATCTGTGTTTGTGTCAGAGGATGGCAGCACTGACTAATCGCTTTTTCTTGCTCTTGTCTCTCTGGGCGGCAGATCTCTCACATCTCTGTGATGCAGAGCTAGTTCTCTGGGACTGTTGCTGCTCCGCTGACGTCGACTCACCTCCCGGTGCCTCTTGGCCCATGATGAAAGAACCAGCTCTCCCATCCACCCTCACCATGGAGGATGTGTGTGTTTGTGTGTGCATGTATGTGTACCACCAGTGGCTGAGAAGGCAGGCACATTTAGTGGGAATGTGTGTGTCGGGAGTCCTGGAAACCCCTTTATCCTAACCCACTGAGGCTCAGGGCTGATGGGCAGCCACACACTCATCGGCGATTAGGACATCAGAGGTTGTCGGTGGGCTGGGCTGCTAATGAAGTATGACGGGACTGGCTGGTGTAAACAAACAGCCGCCATTGAAGAGGGCCGCCGATCCTCTTGCTCATTCACTCGCTGGTGCGCCTGCCGGCCCGGAATAAAGGGCCCTCTCATGAAGGTCCTCACAGAGGGGCAAGGGGCGAGGGGATGGTCTCCGACAGCAGAGCCAACCAAACCACACCACACCATACCGTGCCATACCATGCCAGAGCTTTCCTCCCATCCCTGTCCCCCAGACACTCTGCACCCCACCTAGCTTGCATTGTTTGGCCATATACACAGACACAGGGTTTTCTTAGTACCTCTTACCCAACATGAGTACCATCTGGACTAACACCAAAGTCAGGCTGGACCTAAAGAAGTCCATTTTGTTCCTGACTCCATCCTCACCCCCCAGCTCCCTTTTTGTCCCCCCAGACTCGGTCCACAGCTCTGCCTGGACCTGAACAGAGCCAGGGTTTGATGTTGCCGCCAGAACAGATGACAAGCGGACGGGTGCAAGGGATGAAACGAAGGATGCGGCACATCAGAGGAGGCCGGTTCATAAGAAGAAGCCGCCAGTCCTTTTTTGTGTTGAGGCTGCGTATGTGTGGTGGTGTGTGTCTGCCTGCTTGTAGCCATGTCTGTTTCTTGAAGTCACAGGGTTTCTGGTTATTCATTTGAGCCAGTGTTAACAGAGACATTTCAGAAAGCTATAATTGACTAATTAGGAGTGGCTGTGTATTTATTATGTTTGGGAGTGAGATTTGTGAATAATGAATAAAATATTAAAACTACTTGGTGGTGATGTAATTAAGCTTTAAATAAGTATGTATATTCCAAGTGTTAAATAACTGCATTTGGTGACAAACTGAGGAAATCTGTGTGTAGCCCTGGTGTAGCCCCACGTTCATCAACACGACCGAGCGTGCGCGTACTCTCGAGTCCTCAATGCGCGCCGCCGTTCCTGCGGAATTCAGGAGACTGTGGTTGGACTCCGAAAGGCTACCACCTAGAAAATAATGAACAACAAATTTGACGCGTGAGTAAACAAAAGTTTCTGTGGCAAATCTACCAGAGTGGGCCCCCCATCGTGAAATTCACGGGGGAGCGTAACGTTAGTGAAAGCTGTTGCGTGTAAAATGAGAGGTGTGTCAGCTTCATTGCATATCCTGCATGCTCTGTAAGGTTTATAAACTCACATTAGAGCCAGTTTTAAACACACAGAGGTGCATTTAAAACGAAGTAAAGACACAGATTACATCGTATTTCAGAAAGGAGATGGTGCTGTGTTGTTAGCGGTAGCTTAGCCTGGCGGAAGCCTGACAGGCCTGTATCCTCGGTGTGCCAGTTGTGGAGAGGCCGGGGAAGGTGTGCGCAGCTTCGGATCAAACTATACTGTCATGGACTCATGGCCCTAAAGTAATGGCACAAAGCTGACATTTCATGTAGGATATTCACCGTAAGAGTATTTTAGCAACAGATGTGTACGTATGCAATTTAACAGTCTAGATGTTTGCTGTTCCTGGTTAAACAATCACACTCAGTTCAGAGTTTCTAAGCTGTAATTTAGCAGCCCAGCAATACATTATATATCCTTATGAAGGTTATTATTATGTTCCTGTTTTTGCACTATTTTGTCAACCCCATTAATATCAACTAGTGCAGAATAGTCTTTATAATAATACAGTTTAGCACCACAAACGATAGAGGGGAATCCCTTCTTGATATTGTGAGTTCAGGGCAATCTTCGTTCACTCATTTCAAATGAAAGCAGATGGACATTTAAAATGCAGTTTGAATGGTAAAAATCCGTTCAGCAATTATGGACATATCAATGTCAAGTAGTATAAACATCAGTGGGCTTTAAGCTGTAGGTTTAGTGATTTAAACATATTTACTCAAGGAAATATATTTTTGCTTAACATTTTAAAAATATATATATTTTCGAGGATTTTAACCGTGGGAACATCGATTCCCTTACAACAACAGCCTTCAAAGTGACCACAAGTTGACTCAACACTTCCCTAAAACTGTTTAAACTGAACTTCTTTATGATGTGTTATGCCAGCATTAGTTAGCATTTACACCTTAATTACTTTTTAACCAAGATGCAAGTCCCCCTTAACTTAAATGAAGTCAGGTCATGATACAAAGATCTTTTTTTGCCTAATGTTTCCATCAAATCCAGTCTGAAAGATGATGACAGTGGAGACCACGACCAGGACCAAGGCTCACCGAAAGACAGTGAGAAGGAAAAGACTGAAGACGAGGACAAAGACCAGAACAGCTCCAAGAGAAAGGTCAGCCCATTATATAATGACTCATATGAGTTTTCATCTCCAAAGTTAGTAGTATAATAGTCTAAGTTCCTTTCTTGATTTCTGCAGATGGTGGTGCCAGGGGCAGGAGAGCACCCTCTTCAATACAATTACACCTTCTGGTACTCCAGGCGCACCCCAGGGAGACCAGCCAGTACTCAGAGCTACGAGCAAAACATTAAACCGATTGGTGGCTTCGCCTCGGTAAGTCGCTCCTCATCCAGTACATTAGAAAGGGTGGGGGGAACTCTCTTTGCTTCTAATTATCACCTTAGCAAGGCACAGTGCAAAGCATGAATACAAGCTTATCTTGACTGATACACAAATATTTTAGGATGTTTTAATGAAGACATAAAATATTGTGGCTTTTTTAATACTTACTATACACTGACTCTTTTGACTTACTGTAATATGACATCTTTGTGGCATACTATATTATGATTTATAATACAAAATTACCACATACTATATTATGATTTATAATACAAAATTACCACATACTATATTATGATTTTACAACTAATCTAACTAACTAACTTACAAAAATCACAACTAATTGTAACTTTAAGTGTATCACTAATGTAGCCAGCTCACTAAGGGGCGATGCGGTCTTAACACCTATGAAAAAGGGTCTTTTAAAAATAATTGAAAAGGTATAAAATGTAATTATTCCTGCATATTCCCTGTTCTTGTCTTTCCCAAGGTGGAGCAATTCTGGCGTTTTTATAGTCACATGATCCGGCCAGGCGACATGACAGGCCATAGTGACTTCCACCTGTTCAAAGAGGGTATTAAACCCATGTGGGAGGTCGGTACTACATATATTATTGTAATACATTAAATGAATTTAGATTTGTAAATGAAAAACCCAGTCTAAATCCATGCCATGTTGTTTTAAAGGATGATGCCAATAAGATGGGTGGGAAGTGGATCATCCGTCTGAGGAAAGGCCTTGCATCGCGCTGCTGGGAGAACCTGATCCTGGCAATGCTGGGGGAGCAGTTCATGGTTGGGGAGGAGATCTGCGGGGCTGTGGTGTCAGTCCGCTTCCAGGTAAACAGACACGCACTCCTGTAGTACCTCGTCTCACACTGCATGTTTCAGTATCATCATCATGCCCTCTCTTCTCTTCTCAGGAGGACATCATCTCTATCTGGAACAAAACAGCCAGCGACCAGGCGACCACTGCCCGCATCAGAGACACGCTGCGCAGAGTTCTCAACCTGCCTCCCAACACCATCATGGAGTACAAGACTCACACAGACAGCATTAAGTATGTATGTCTAATCGTTTAATTATTTTCTCTCTCTTTCTATCTATCTCACAAGCATGTGTGCATGCTCACAGAATGAACATTTATGTTTTTAAATATGATGCATTATTGTTGCGTCAAAGAGTGTGATGATATACAACTTGGACATATAGATAGATAGATAGATAGATGGGTGTGGTAATTTAATTGCAAACATTTGCATGTTGCAGCTTCTCAGTTGTTAACATTTGCAGCTGTTATTTGAATAGGTGTTGGTTCCAGAGTGTTGTTGGAAGAAAACATTGAAATGATCATGCAAACACGATCATGCATTGTTCAGGCATTTTTTAAAAGCTAGAACAGGGCCTGTTTTGAACGGCTGAATGATTGGCCTCTGATATTGCAGCTTGCAGCTTTCTCAAGAAGCGCTCATACAGACAGCTGAACACTTGACACTACGCTTCCTTTTCTTTGGTCCTGAGCTTCCATGGCATAGTTCTGTCACTCAGCAAAATACACTCTGGTTCATCATAGCAAACGGCAGAGGCAGACATACTATATTACTGACTTTTTCACAATATACTACGTAGGGCTGCACAATATTGGAAAAAACTGACATTGCGATATTTTTCTTCTCCTCCGATATATATTGCGATATGAAAAAATACAGGAATTGAAGAAAAGAGAGTTTCTGTTGTCCGCAAACCATCCTTTCTTGAACTTTAATGCTATACAATTGGTATTTTTTTAACAATATTTAACCAGATGAAGGATTTTAGTCACGGACTTCTGGATCTTAAGTTATCAGAGCAACAAGCTGAGCTAGCTCGGTTATCCTGCTGTGATCTGATCAAGAATGGTTGTGATTGGTGGTTTGCTGTGCATGCAGAGCCTGCATGTCACTCACTCAAGTACCCCTGACATGAGAGCCACGACACATTTGAGTTCATTTGCCTACTTAATATCGCACGTCCTAAAAAATCAATAAATCGCACGTCCTGCGATGTCAATATCACGCATGCGCATAACGCTATTAAAATCACGACACGATATATCGTGCAGCTATGACATTTTTAGTAGGGATGCACGATATTGGTTTTTTGAAACTGATACCGATAACTTCCTGCTTCTCAAGACCGATACCGATAACCGATAATAATATATATATATTAAATGTACCTGTTGCCTTTTTCCCTCCTCGTGGAACTTCTGCATTGCATTTGTTAATACAAATAGCAAGCGAACTATCTAACTCTGAAACTTTGAAATAGTCCCATACTACCGACGACATGTTTGTTTACTGTCCTGGCTTCACGGCCGCACACCATTTACGTCACAGCCAGGCATGAGTTAGGGAGCGCTGGATTTGGGAAAAACTCCCCTCTTCCTAAACCACTAATACCACAGTACTGGCAAAACGGGAGGAGCCGAGTGAAAAACAAGCGCCCCTCATCCCAATCCACCCACACCGCAGTATTTTTTTCTTTTTTTTAACCCAAAAAATATATTGTATATTATCGGGGCTATTAATACTTTTATCGGGTTTATCGGGATGACGTCATAATTCCTAATATCGGACCGATAATTATCGGCCCGATAATTATCGTGCACCACTGATTTTTAGGACACATGCTGTTTTTATTTTTGTATAATTTAAGTTAAAAAAAGGTAACTTAATCTACCTCTGCCAATACCAAAGTTCCCAATCAGCGAATGATGTATGAAAAATCATCCAAAACAACGTTTGCCTGGGCCCCTGAACCACTCAATCAAGCATGGATTGTAACTTTAGTATTTCAAACATACATGTAACGTTAGCAGGCTATATGCGGCATGTAGCAGCAAAAGAAAGTGCAGTCCATGAGCGGCAGCCTTTAAAGGCCTGCTGCGGACAACATGCTGCGGACAACATGCTGCGGACAACATGCTCCACTCAGTTTTGAGAGTCATGTGGCCCCAACCCATTGCTGCACAGATCGCTATTCACTTGTTTTTTCTTAGTTATCGAAAATGTCCCGTGTCTAAATTGCGCCCAACTTCGATACCACACCTACTTGGATCCCCAACAATATAGTCCCCAATTATGAAGTAGATCCAATGAAAGGTTCTCGAGATCATACGAGATTCCTTTCTAAGAGTTTAATAAACATTTAATTAGAAAGTGATCAACAATATACTAGATAATGAACATAAATTGTTTTTAGCAGCACTAAGTAGAGCATTACTCTCTTAATTTTCTTTGGCAATTATGATTTATTTATTGAAGCATCCAGAACAACATCCAGAGCTATAAAAGAACTGATATATCATTTGTTCCCCTATTTGTTGTGTTATAAAAGAAAGACAAGTCAAACACCACCATGTATGCAACACTGTCATGTTTCATGTGCTTTTGCAGTAAATTGATGCAGTTGTGATTTTCCCATTGAAAAGGCCTGAATGTCCAAACGTGGTGTTTATTTTGAATGATGATGTGCTGCATCCTTTGTTCACAGAGCATGGGTAGACTTCCATGGACTGGTGAACCCTAGTGGCGGACGTTAGCCCCTCACACAGACCACCTCTGAAAGAGTAGGAACTGTTGCTACATTATTCAAATTGAAAGATAGTTTCTCTCTGATGTGCTGGTGCTAATGTTTGTCTCTGTTTGCTGTGCATAGGTGTGTGTATATGTGACATGCCGGGGGATGACGAGTCCTGGGAAGGAAACCTCTATGTGGATTGGGACTGTAACATGAAGACAGAGCAAAAGTCAGAAACAGAGGCAGGAAGACCATTCCTTATTTGCGTCAAATTGGAAATGAACGGAAAAGCCTGTCGAACTGAACCTTGCCGAAGAGGGAAATATGCGTTACTTTTAATCAACCAGAGAAGACTGATGCCTCAATTTTTATTTTTTATTTTTTTAATGCAAGTTGTAACATCTGTTAACTTGCCACAAGAGGGAGGCCATGTGACAGGTATTCGCTGATCTGGTCATTAGCTGTTAACAAAGTGTACTTGACAAAATACAACAAAACCAGTCTGTTATAATACTAGATTTAACTGCTTAACATCACATTTCCTGCTGTCTAAAATGAATCTGTTTTATTAGGACTTCAACAGAGTTGCAGGTCGAGTTTTTTTTTTTATTACAGTGCTGTATTTTAACTACAATTCGTCTGACATTTCGAACCAGAAAGATTACTATTATTGTGTACGATATATTTGTAAATACAGTCCACTTCAAAGATCGCTTAACTGAATCAGCAATGATTCTCCATTTTACGTGAAAGTTAATCCCAAAGGATGAGGAGCATCCTGTGTTGGGCAGAAGGTTGTATAACCGGCATCTTAAGAATGGACTGCCAAGCTGCCTAAATCACTGTGCCTGGCCTCGAGCCCGAACCAGTTTTCCCTTCTGTCTGTCACGTCTTCATCCCGCCTTTAAACAATCCAAGGGATGGGTTCTGCTTTAATGTCCTCAACAAAGGTGTTCAGGTGTCCTGGAACACTGACCTTCACTCCTTTTCCATTTTGTAGTAAAATAAATGAAACTGGGCCCAGGGTCAGGGTCTGTTACAGTTTTTATCAATTCTCGGGAGCATCTTTTTGGAACCATGCCAAGAAAGCGCCTATAGTTTGTTGAAAAACTGTAATGCTGCCAGTGTTTGTGGGTATGATGATGGGTGCAGGTGTGTGTCAAAAGTGAAGAACACATTTGGATGTACACCTGATGGAGTATAGCAATAAATGTCAAATATGCATCTGCTGCTAAATCTGGTTCAGTGTCATTTTCTACATACAGTATGTTTGTTGAAACACAATTGTTGAGGGACAGATCATTCCTTACTGTTTCTTTATAAATACAATTCACTGATACGGTCTCGTGTACCATCAACTGACCCCTCTGGTGTGTCTCATCAATTGTAGCACACACTGACGCTGTAGCAACAATGTCAGTTTACCTTTTTATTGATCCTTTTCATTGATCAGCTCATTTCAAAGAACATGTAATTCTGTAGGGAAAAAAGTGGAAGCAAATCAGTTAAGGGACAAACTCTAAGGGCCTTTTTCACAACATACATGATATGTACTAGTCACAGGTATTAATACAACTATGAACAATGTCTATATTGTAGTCATTTATGATGGTAGCATTCACAATATCAGAACCCTAAAACTGAATTCAGCTATGTTTAGTTTAGATATTTACACTTTTATTGTCCTTTCTGTAAAAAAAGGCCTATTATAATAAATAAAGTATGAACAATGCAACAGTGATAATATAAATTAATTTGCTTACCAACAAGAAAGTGGCTGCCAGCAGCATTAGTTTGGAGTGTGATTCCATACCGAGTGGCACTGGAAGAGACACATTTAAATACAAATTGAAATGACATTAAGGTTCTCAAACTATGGGGTGCACATGACTATGGGACATTATGTGGAGTTAACTTAAGTAACATTTCATTTCTCAAAAGACTTTTTGATATGTAAACACGTGTGTAACTCAGTAATTGTTGTCATGTTCTGTCATGCTCATCAATTTGTTTTTTTTGTGGAAGTTTTTTAAACCTTCCTTGTGCTCAACTCACCTTCCAACCCAAAATATTCATGGTCCATGTTATAATCGTCATTGAAGCCAGGCCATTTCTTCCATATCGAGCCCATTTTCTCCCCAATGTTGGAGACAATCTGGAGAAGATTAAAAGCAAAACATAGCAATTAAAATAAGCGTGTAGAATACTTTTATTTTTGTGTTGCTTAACCTTAGATACACGAGTGACTGGACCCTACACTCTTCCATAAGTGGGTAAAACAGGAAAATGTGTTTTTATGCCATTTTGGTTAAGAAAAATCACTTGTATAATATTTAGTATTATATTTTGGTTCACACTAGAAATATTTAATATTACATTTTTCACTATTTAGAATTTTAGAATTTATTTTACATTTTGAAAAAAACAACAAAATTCCATAGAAAATGCTTGCGGGTCATTTTTGACCCACTTATGGAAGCTTGGGGTAGTAATACAAAAACTACATTTTCTTAAAATGTATACAATTTAAATAAAACATTTAAATGGCATGATATCCAAAACATGTTTTTTGAGGAATAGCTGGAATATGAAATGATAAAAAAAATTTATTACAAAGATACTCTAAAAAAAACACATCACCGGGTCACAAAAAGACCCACTTATGCATCTAAGGGTTACATATCACTACCTGGAATTGCTGGTTAGAGAAGCATCGGGATGGACAGCAGGAGCCCTGGATTCTGATGGTGGATGCTCCTTCTGAATCACACACTTCCAGGAGAGGGGTGAACATGCTCCACCTGAAAACAAAGGCCCCCAACACACACCAACTCAACCCGTACCCTTACATAATAATCGTGCAATAAGCAACCTAGCAGATACACTGGCCAGTACTTCACACAGTGGCGCGGCATAGCCTTGATGCTTGGTTGATCACATTTTCAGCTGTCATGGTTCTGCAGCACTAAAACCATTGTTTGCTTGGTATCGGAGGAGTTCAAATTGGGGCAGGCTTTATTCGAGGACAACTGAGAGAATATTTATACCAAGTAAATCTGTGCTCAACGAAACCTCTGCCAGGTCAGTCTTAATTGGGGAAAACTTCATTGAGTGTGGCTTCTGAAAAACTCTGGATCCGGCACACACCACGGTACCTCAGCTAACCCTGGAGTCAAATTCAGGCCAAAGGAAGAAGAAAGTATTTTGGTTTGCCTACAGTAGATTGGGTGCTGCCATTTTGCCCATTAGTCAACATTCCCATTAAGAAGGACGTCGCATTCCTTCCCTCCCATGCAGCCCGGGGCAGCTTTGTCAGTATGTCTCCATCCAAGCAGCTGTTTAGTGCATTAAGTCTCACAGGTTTAGACTGCACCCCGGCTGGGTGGAACAGTAAAAGCTTCCACTGCTATTTACAGACAGGCTGGGCATCTCTGATGGCTCAGGGTGGCCAGAGGCTGGGAGGGACACGGAAAAAAAGCTCACATGTTCAGTCTGAGAATGTATAAAGATTGCTGGTACAGTATTCTTATAGTGGAGGTCAAAGGGTACATTCATTTAAATTACAAAAAACTTGAAAGATTACATTTCTTTCAACTCAACTGTATTTCGACAACATCATAAATGTCAGACCTGGTCAAATAAAACGATCCTGATTGGTATTAGTATTAGTAGATGGCACAATTCCACCACTGACCCAAATACCACACCGAAGACAGCTTTAATTAAAAGAATCAAATCTCTTTTTTAATTGTTATCAAATGTTTTTGCTGCATCAGTAAAATCTTAATTTGAAAAAGTATTACAAAAATAATTTATGTCATATAACAGTTGAACTGTTAAGTGTGCTAGTGTGAAAAACAGAAATCACATGTTTTACTTGAAATAATACAACATTTTAAGTAAAATGACTGCAGGAAATATTTGTTTGAAGAGAATTTTACTTAAAGCACCAAAAGTAAATCTACCCATTATGTAGGATATTTCTTAATAAATTATATTATTGATATGCATTGATTACTGGATATAATTTATAACGATGCACCATTTTTTTTTTATTAGTCTATTTTTAATTCTTTATTTATTTGGGGTCACATTACATTAAAAGTACAGTTTTGCCTGAAACATGCACCATATTTTAGACACTTATCTTCTGTTCTACAGGTCAAATCTGCAAAGTAACTTAAATATAGCATGAAATAGAAGATTCTCTAAAGTATTCCCAAGCGTTTATAAGAGTTGGTACTTCAGTAAGTCTACTCTTTGGCACTGAAGTTGGCCCGGGGCAATAGAAGTACGTTTTGACTGTCCTACCTCTGAAACACAGTGCCCATGAGTTGTTTGTGAGGTGTGTACGCCCTCATCTCCATCAGGCAGCAGCCGAGACAGCAGGCGTCCACTCTGAGGGGCCTTTCAAAATAAAAGACCTGCCGGCCCTGACAGTCGAACCCCCGCAGGGAACAGGGCCGAGCTGGACCGCAACACTGGAGGCACACACAGGAACTCTCTGACAGATCAAAGACAAGACACTGAAAAACATTAAAACCCACACTATCTTCATATGAAAAGCAAATGATGGGCTCAGTTAAGACATGTGTAGCTGAACATGGGTCAGTACCTTCCACAGCCACAAATAACTGTGACCTGTGACCTCCTGTGCTGATGCTGTAGATCCTCCTTGGAACACATTGTGGACCTGCAATGACGACACATTATTCTTTAAAACAGAAAAACATATTCACTGCAAGTTCTTTTTTTTCTTTCTTTCACCTATTATGCAAAATCCACTTTTTCATGTCTTGTATACATCAACATGTGTCCCCTCTGTGTGAAGAGATTCTGAAAGTTTCAGGAAAAAAGATTCTCTCACTTTTTGTCCTGATCCATTTATATAAAAACCTGTCTGAAAATGAGCTGATCAGATTTTGGCCACTCTATGATGTCATAATGATGTTTTGGCTTGTGTAACCATTAGCCAATCAGCAACCAAGGTAACCCCCCCCCCCCCCCCTTATCACCTGAATCTCCTCCTAGAGCATCATTGTGTTCTTTTTAACCAAATATCTCTCAGAGGGGCGTGGGGAGGGGCTCCTTATTTTCATCTAAAGTAACAGACACAGAATCCGCCCTTTTGAAACATTGCTGAAACAGAGGGGATTATGGGATGCTGCAATGCATGATCTGTTTGGTATTTTGAGCCAAACACTTCAGAGACATGTTTTGTATACATCTGAGACCTATAATATATTGATGAAAAACAGTATAATAGGAGACCTTTAAAGAAAGATTTGCCAAAGTGACCCCCCCTTCTCACCTTGCAGCTCTGGTCTGGCAGTGATGTGTATTTGACTGACTGTTTCCAGCACAGACAGGAAGTGTGATCCTGCTGCACTTCCAGGCTCCTCCACCCCTGGCAGACTGACTTTCCCTGGTTGCTGCATGAATCCGTTTTTCATCATCCTCCCAGGAGCCACACCTGACAGCTGCCCATCAGATTGACAGTCAGGAGGCGTTTGGGTGCGTTTGGGCCGAGGGTGGTGAGTGTGGCATTCACATGAAGGCCCGCAGTGTTTCTGGAAAGCTTTGAAGATCATCTGGATGTGCTTCTCTCTTTCCAGTTGACCGAAGGGAAGAGGCTGATTGGTCACCGCTGACATGGTGTAAAACTGAAAATATATGTTGCACCCAGAAATAACATATCAATGACAAGCAATTATACTGTGAATATATAAGGTGGGATACTTTGTTCACCTCTGTTTACCCGAGAGTATAAAACCAGCGTCAGTAATCGCTCATTTGTTGTCTATGTTTGGATGTAATTATTTAGATACCAGACTCGTGTTAAACAATAATCCAGGACTTTTTGGAGTTACAGAAATAATTGTTGTGTTTAAATTGTCCTCATAGTGTTTAATAATGTAATGAAAGTTATAGTAAGAACATCATTAAAAAGTCATACAGTAGTATTCAAGGTCAATATATATCATACAAATGAATAGTATAATACGCAATTTAAAAATCATAAAACATCCTATTTCTTAAAAATGCATCAAAAGAAGTCATTGTTAAATACTGTAGGTCACAAAAAGTTATTAATTTGGACTTAGTATAATATGTATGTATAAAATAATAAGTGTAAAGGCGAAACGATTATCAGATTAGGGACCGTTGACCATAATCTTATGAAATGGGGTCTACGGTATGTCATTAAAAAGTCATAGTATTGTATGTCATCAAAAACGTTGTTTCAAGAAGTATTTCAGAACACTATTGACTAGATCGTCCAAATAATAATTTCACATTTGCCCTGAAGTAGAGGCTTACAAACAAATAATTAGATTTATCTCTTGAATTTATAAGAGAAAGCTCAAGAAAACCAACATTCCCTATCACACAAAATTCCTTCAGGAGGTTCAGGGTGTTCTCTGGCACCAATATAAACGCCCTCCCCTTACGACAAAGGGATTTTATCACCGCAGCCAGCATCAGCCTCTTCTTTATTCAAATCACACACACTCAGCTTTCACAGTTTGCCCCATTCTGCTGCTGTGTGTAACTTTGTATACCATATTCCTCAACAAAAAAGTAATTTAACTCTAACTCCTGTCCTGCAAACAGACAGGGATTTGTGAAAGATAAGGTGCCAACATTGTAAATCTTTTCTACAGTCATTAGTATTAAACAGTATTTAAGGACAGAAAACAGCACAACAAAGCACTCTTGCTTACCGTCTGAGGTCGACCTCCGGGTACCTAAAGACTCTGACTGTGAGAAGGATATAACCAGACAAACATCCACGAGTCGTCATGATCAGGAGGGCTGAAGCACATACCTCCTTACAACCTCTGTGTGTGTATGTAGTAATGTTTTTGGCGTTGTGATGTGTGTGTGTGTGTGTGTCACCACCGGTCTCACCCCCTGACTCTGTTTCCATCCCAACCAGGCGGATCTGCCTTTTGTTGGGTTAAAAAAGACCCCGCTTGGCCATGTAATTGAAATCCTGCTTCCAGAGGTGGGGGGGCTGTGCAGTGGCTCTGTGTTTTGGGGTAGCCTGGGGGCTGTTAGTGCTCTATATGTGCCACAAAAAAAGGTGTTAAACACATGAATAAGAAAAGTCTGAGACTGAGCAATTGACCAATAATAGAAGTACTTTTATTTAAAAAACAAAACATGTTTTCACTGTTTACATCTGTGATCAACATGTGTCTCATGTAGTTTATCATGATGGCCTCAGATTTTATTATCAGCAGGAACAAATGTAGACTTACATCAAACACTGGGCTTGTGACAGGAAGAGCACATTTTCTTATACAGCTTTTTACGCAACAAGTATTCTCAACCCCAAAAATCAGTGACAGCTGATACCAGTACTGTGCGTCACCATCGATCATACTGGCATCCAGACAACTGTGCTGTGGATCCTTTATCAACATGAACAAGCATTTTTGACTTGTGATAGTCGGAAAGACCCCCACATCTTCTCTATTATCCCTGTGTCCTCATCTCAAAGCGAAGGATCACTGACGGACATCCTCAGATTCCGACTTTTGATTGAAAAAGGATTACATCTGGAAGTTTTCTCTTAGTTCACCCCAAGAAGTTTGCTCCCATCCCACTCTCAGTTAGATCAGTGAGGTTGTTTATTAGAGGGAGATACCTCTTGGGATCCCCGGGGAAAGGCGAGGAGGGGGGCTGGTTGAAATGACCCATCAGGAAGATCCCAATCGTGCCGATAAAAAACACAGACACCATGACAATGAAGCAGACCCTGTCGATCACCCGGGCGACCAGGAACCACTCTTCGTTCTCCTGGAGCAGGAATAAAAATGGGAGATTATCACTGATTTTGATTAACCTAAGAAGATCAGCAAATATTGAAACGTAGAACTCACACTTTGGAAGTTGTTCTGATTTCTTGCAGTCTCGGCTATGTGTTTGCAGGAGGCCACACACTGCTTCAGCTGTGGAGAGGCCTTTGCCAGGCTGGCACTGAGCTGCTCAGCTGAGCCCCCCTCCAGCCCATCATCTGTGTACAAAACACCAGATGTGCATGACAAGGAGAACACACATTCATACGCACTTTAATGGAAGACTTCACTCCTAAATTATCTTTTGTATATACATTCTTCAACCTCTGTTACCTTGAGTTCTTGAATAAATCTCACAAAGGGCTTTCACAGTTAACAAAATTCCTCATGAACCAAAGTCAACTTGGTCTGGATTCAACAACAGCACAACTATACAGTATCAAGAAATACAAGGAGTCCAGATGAAAAGTATCCGCGCAAACCTGAGACTGTTAATGAGGAGGGGTTTTTAAATAGTTTTTGGTTTGGGAAAAGCTGATCATACAACTAGAAAAGCTTTGATTATAATACACAGGCGTCTGCAAGTTTTTTAGCTGATGTGCTTTAGTAAAACCACGGTTTAACCAATTATTTTTTCACATTGAAGTCGTGATAAAAACATTATTATTATTATTACATTTTGGGGGTGAAGAATTGCTTTGCACGTTTAAATACTTACGTATCCTCTCTAATACTGACTTCATCAGTCCGTTTCTGTCTTTGAGTCTGCTAAACATGAGTTCAGATCGAGCTGTTTTCAACACGTATTCCTCCGCCTTGCTGATGAGGCTCATGGAGCTGCGGCGTCGGCAGGGCACCAGGAACACGTTGTTCGTGTCTGTGACATGATTCTCACTGTTGCCAGGTTCTGAAGCGTTGTCACTGTTTGGTTTCCAGGGTTGCATCTGCATCTTCAGTAGCCGAGGCAGGATGTTTAGGAAGATCTGAGGAGGACACAGGGTCAGAGGGTAATCCAGTGGCAAATAGACCTGTGTTTGCTTCACAGGATGTTCATTCAGTAGCTTCTTAATGGAAATTGCATTTAGAAAAGGGTTTGGTCTACACAGTCTTACCTTTCTGACAATGTCTGTCATTTTGTGTGTGTTTGGGGTTCTCAGGGAAACGTTGAGGACTACCACACAGTTCATCACCACCGCGGTTGTCACTGACATCGCAAACATCAAATACCTGCAGTCAAATGTTCATCAATCACATTTTTTTCTCACTTCAGGTCAGCTGTATTTGAACCAAAACTCTTTGAGTGATCACACAAACGTACTTTCCAATCAGGGGCACTGCCCTGGAAGTCTCTGGAACCTTCTTGGCGATAAGGAAGAGAAACACAGTCTGGCCCAGAAGAGTGGCAATAGACATGGTGCACTTCTGACCCCCAGCTGCAAAACAAATATTCATTCAGAGTGTAAATGAACACAGAAATGTGTAACCTAAAGGAGCCAGACTTTTCTTGTCTACCGCGTAACATTTGGAGAAAACCTTGATGATGAGAGCTAGGAAAATCATGATGAGGTTGATGCGTTGGAGGTCTGAGTGACTATTATTAGGCTTTTAGAAAGTTACACAAAGTTATCAAACAGACCTTTGGCAGGTAAGAAGTAGACAAGGAGGCAGAGGGAAGAGAAGAGCACACAGGGAGCGATGATGTTAATGACGTAGAAGAGGGGCTTCCTCTGGATGATGAGGAAGAAGACCACCTCCTGGTACTCCAGCTCATCCTTAGTGTGCTGAGTGTTGATCAGCGTCTTAGCCGGCCTGTGCTTGATGGCCCACTCTCCATTCTCTAAAAACAAGTTAAGATGGAAGTTACATTTTTTGCAACACAATCATTTGTAATAACTTTCAATATAAACACTGTCTTTTAAACTCTTCTGTACCTGTGAAAGCCTCTGGGTCAATGTCCACCCACTCCAGCGTGTGGTTGTCCTCCTCTTTGAGAACCAATTTGATCTCGTTGGCACTGTACGTCTGGGAGCTGAACACAGCGAGAAGACATATGTTCTGTCAGACACCACAACAAACACAGCCATTTATTCCCTTTTACAAGACAGCATGGTGAAAAGGGACCCTGAAAGAAGGAATCATTGTCCCTGGTTTGGACACTGGATGCTATTTAAATCACAAAGAGAAACCTGACATAGAGGTCCGAACCGATGGTCAAGAGTCTAAATGATTAGAAATGAAACTGGTCAGCAGCTGGTCTGTCGATTTCAATTCCTTTGGTTTTATCCATTGTTTTCATTTAACAAATTAATCTAACTTTAATCAAATGTTCTTGGAACATAACTTTATTTTAAAGCCTTCTATATAGTAGGGTATAACTCGAATGGAGAATAACTAAACCCTTAACATAAATCTAGTTCACATATTTTTTGCAATGTATTCAACTCTATATTGAGTTGTTTATCTGTTTCCTTACATTTCAGCCAGTTTTCGTGCTCATTTCACATGCACTTCTACTCTTTGGTTTCTAAAATGTTAAATCTTATCTTGCTTTTGTCTAAATTACTGCAAGATTGTGGGTAAACCGGAGGTGCTTTTTAATATTATAGTAGTGTTACGACCCTGGGTCGTTATGTTGTTTGTGTGCAGGTATTTTCTTCCTCCTCCTGTGTCTGTGTGGCTGCGTATGAGTGAACAGGTGGTGCCCGGTAGCTGATTGGCTGCCCTCGACAGGCTGATTGGTCCACCTGGGGAGACGTGAGGATATTAAGCTGCAGCCGTGCAGTTCCTCGGTGACTCAACTTCTCCTACTCCCAATGCGGCGATTATGTTCTATGGTGCTGTGTTCACACCTTTATGTCATTGTCCTTCTCCTCTGGCTGCGGGCCATTTATACCTTACCTGTCTTTGAAAGACAGACGTATGTTCTTAGGAGTACAAAACCTTTTTGTTTTTCTCTTCCCTTTTTGGGTTGATCGTTTTCTCCTGTTTAGGTTAGTGTAGGTAAGAAGCCTGTATATTTATTTTCTCGGTTAGGTAAGATTTTGAGTTCTAAGGTTTGTTTCTTTTTTGTTGGTTTTATTACTCCTATTTTTGTATCATTATTTGCTAAATAAATGTACCAAACGTTTTCTCTGACTCAGTGTCCGTGTTCTTGGGAGTGGGAAGAGTGGGGGAGAGTGCATTTTGTGCTGCGCCTAGGTTCCCCTAGACCTGGGCGTAACAATGACAATAAAACCTTTGAATCTTTGAATATTGAGAGACACTGAGACAATACATGTCTTACTGTTGTACATCAGAGTAAAAACTTTAACTGCAAAGCATTGTGGGAAGAAGAAGATCTCTTTGCTGTGGATGAAGTTCAGCAGATGATGGAGGCTCATGTTGATGGCTGTATGCTCACAAACAATTCATGAGAGAAGAAGAAGATGTAGTTTATACTATTTCATAGGAATATTTTACTGAAAATGTAGCATTTATTCCGATAAAAAAAAAGCTTCCATATCATGTGCGATTCAACAGAGCAGTAAAACTGGTCGAATAGGGCACATATTTAATTTTTTTGTAATTTACGTGAATGTTTCATTTGAAACTGAATTTACGACTTTTCCCATTCATCCTCAAATGTTTGGGGAATATTCTTGTAGTCTAATTGATTTTGGCATCAGAAAACGATATCATTATCCACAAGACAAAATCACCAAAATTATGCAAAGGCATAATACTTTTAAAAATAAATCTTGTAGTATAACGTGCAGGAGTGATTTTGGAAGCAGCTGTTGCTGCTCTCCTCCAGGAGGAGGCGCTGCAGGACAAACACACAGAAGTGGTTTGTGAAGGTTTCCATGTGAAAAACCAAATAAATGTAGAGAGATGAAGCTGCTGTAACATGTAAACACATTGTTGTTGAGTGTGTGTGTTGTCCCAGGTGTGTGTTCAGAGTATACAGAGTGTATAAAGACTGGGTCCCGCTGTATTGCTCAGGCTTCACTGCAGCGTCTATTCACAGGCGCGATCCCACTATTGACTTCAATACAAT